AAATAGTAAATGTGCCTCCAGCCATATCTTCAATGGTCATTTTTCCTTCGCGTGCCTATAACGCAAAAAAAAAAAAATCAGTTAAATTCTACTTTCGTAAGTCAAGATCGAAATATTACCTTTTGTCCTAATTCTGCAATAGCCTTTTCTATTTCTATGAAAGATAATAGATGGACATTACGGACTACAGGTGTAACTAGACCTTTTGGAGTGGCCACTGCAACACTCATGTCAACATAATCTCTGTAGAGGATTGTATCACCCGATTCTGAAATAGAAGCATTTACCGCAGGAATTTCCTGGAGAGCAAATACCGATGCCTTCACAAATGCGGACATAAATCCTAATTTTATCCCGTGTTTCTTAATAATTACATCCTTGTAAGTATTACGAAGTTCAATGATGTTGCTAGTGATAAAACATTAAAAATTTCATTCGGGAAAATAATTATAATTTAATAGACTTAATAAGATGTCAAGAGATGTTAGTGTGTAAATTAAAAAGTTGTAAAACCTCATATCGATTTCATTGAACGTTGTCAAAGATGCAGCCGTATTTTGTGATTCTTTTAAACGTTCAGCAATTCTTAAACGCATCCTATTCATCTTGATCTAAGGAAAATAAAGTATCATGCCAGACGCACGTTATACATTGTCTCGTATTATGCACGCAAGTTATAATTTATACCTACTTGGCGTTCTTCACGTTCTCCATAAAGAACATCAGCTTTTCTCGGGGGCAAAGATTGTTCGGGGGTAGGTGAAGTCGCGGCAGGTTTAGGTTCGGGAGGGGATGTAGTAACAGCAGGTTTAGGTTCTAGTGTAAAACGTAAGATCACGTTATATAACTCAATAGTATGATGTACAAGATTTGTGATTTACGAAGATACCTGATTGAAATGGCGATGGTTCTGGTGAAGGCGGAGAGGTTGTTTCTTTCTTTTCATCTTTGATCTCTTCTTTAAATTCTTGTTTTTGCTCTGGTTTTACAACTTCCCCCTCCTTTGAGGCCGTTGCATCAGGACCTAGGTACAATACATTACAGGTTACACGAATTGCGCAATTGATATATAACAATATTAGACAATTAAAAACATACCGGCAGTTGCGGCATCTCCTAATTCGATCTTGAAAAGATCTTGACCTACTGTCACAGTGTCTTGTTCATTTGCGTAAAGCTCAAGTAT